GTAAAATCAGGTTAAGAAACAGAACCCAACCTCAGAAGACCACAGGTTAGTGTGCTTTTATATTAACGCTAAACAAGGTAAGAGTACTGTTAATCATATACAGTGTGTGTGTCAGTTTTTGTAAAGATCTCAACGTATAGAGTCTCCAAAATTTCACAAACATAAAAAAATATGGTCCCACCTGCTATAATGGCCACTTGTACAAGACAATCACCTCCTACAAACGACCTTTTCCCATCTCCCCCCCCCAGCATTAAAAAAAAATGACACAAGTAAGACTGCCACCACCTGTCGAAGACGACCATTTTTCTCCTCAACAATGGGTAGCTGTCTTTGACAATTTAGATTGTACTTAAACCTCTGTTTGCTCCCAAACTTTTATTTTCATAACACATTCAAGCACCGAGGCTATCCAAAGCAAAATCTGCATTGACCATGCCTTAAACTATAGCAATATATTCTGGCAAAACAAATCGAAGCTGAACCAGGTGAAGATAAAAACAAAAAACAAGTGAGGATAGTGAAACGATTTATCCAAAGGGCGGAGGGTCCGATAAAAAAGAGAAAAAAAAACAGGCACAATATCAATGTGTCCGCGCCGTGTCTTACAGCGGGAGGGTTGACGTCGCTAGCGCCACCTAGTCCTCCTCCTCCACCCAGAAGACCTCCGTCGTCCACAAGACTGGCACTCTGACTACCTCCTCCTCCTCCCAGCATTTCAAAGTCACCCAAACCATTGTCTGCTGGAGTCTGCGGGAGAAATTGTCTCTCCTATTGGTCCGAGTGACGTAAACATTGTGTTGCAGAAAGTTGTGAAACCACAATATTCCTCCCATCACTCTCTTCCACAAGCAATGAAGAAAGATATTCTTTTAAAGTTTTAGTAAGAGTATTACGGCACTTGTAACACAATTAGGTCGTATAAGTGCCGAACATTAGAGGTGTCACTAGAGAGTAACACACAAAGACAAGATGGAGGAGAGATAGGGACCAAAAAAAATCCTGAAACTTAGAAATATGAGAGCCCCAAACAAGCACCAGAAGCTTCAACAGCCCAGAAAACTAAGCAACAAAATACACCCACAGAACAGCCCCGCTCCCAAATGAAAATAAGCAAAAGCAGTGAGACTATCCAAAGCATTAAGAGTGCAGGCTGCATGTTTGACAGTAGGATTACATTCCAAAGATAAATAAATATAATATAGATATCAGTCAAAAGCTGTATGTCATGAGTGGAGTACAAGTGAGAAGCGTGAAACGATATATGTCACCAAAAGGAGGAGGATCGGAAAAAATAAATGATAAAACCAGGCACAATTCAGTGTGTGTCTGCGGAGTCTCACAGCGGAAGAGTTGAGGCCGTCGCTACTACCACCAGCGAGTCCTCCTCCGAGAAGACCATCGTCCACCACGCCCGTGCCCTGACCATCCCCTGCGCCGCCTATCATTTCAAAGTCACCCAAACCATTGTCCGCCAGATTCTGTTGGAGAAATTGTTGGCAAAGTAGCAGGGCGGAAACATGCAGGATTACGACGCTCCAGCCAAACCATCCACCGGGCTCAGCCATCGGACATAGAATGTCATAGCTCAACATCAAGGATTTCACATTTTAAAAATAGGAAGGAAACTTACAAAACTAAAAAAATGAACTATACAAAAATGTCAGTCAGAGAAAAAAAAAGAAAAGAAAAACTTGATTCTCATTTGAATTTAAAAAACAACACAAGAATAACATAAACAGGCAACTGGCTAAAAGACTTCTTCCCAATAAAAACTATGAAGCCCAAGACCTTTAACTAAGGCTCCGATTATTTCGCAATCTTACGACAGCTCACTTAAAAATATTTGTGCGACGACCTCAGAAGCTATTACTAACTTTAAAATCATTTTCACGAAGAACACCTACATGTATTCAATCATTTCAATCATGAAATGTTGATCTGATTGCAAACTAAAGAACATTAATCTGGTCTGAGCAATATATCTCCCTCCATCTCAGTTGGTTCGTGAAGCATACACAGCAACAAAATGTTAACCGTAATGCTCCACAGTTTTCACAATTCCTCTATGAACAGAGCTTCCAGTGCAGTCCAACATTTCACATTGAATCATTCCATACTTCTCGCAATAGAGAGAAAAGAAAGCACAGAGAGATAAAAATGGAACAACAGCAGACTTCATACAACACCTAAGTCTAAGTGCAAGGGCGAAGAAGAAACAAGCACGAAAAAGCAAGTCCAATAGAAGTACATCAATTCACATATCCGCACAGAGTATTAACGTTCTTCCGTTGGGCTATGACTATGCACTACAAACTGATTTCACTCATTCATCTTCCACAGCAAAATACGGGCAAGGGTTACCTGCTGGTCCCCTGATGGAGCATCAGTCCCTTCTGCACTTCCGAAAGCATCAAATCCTGAAGAACAAGAAAAAGGCAGTAGTTAAAAGTAAATTGGTAAACAAACGGTGTCAAGGAAAATGCAGCCCTAATCTCTTCTTTTCATATTCATTGACTAAAATCAAAATTACAAACACATTCACTGAAAGCAAAAATATGTCTCATCTCCTTATAGCATTAAAAGTCCAAGACCTGTAAAATTAGAGTGAAAAGAGCGTAAAATTAAGTCTGTCGGGTTTTCATCAAAACTTTTATTTCACGATGACAGTAAAAATGATGTTTTTGATGTACCAGACCAGTCTGTCAGTATGGATAAAACGCAAAAAAAAGGAGACAGACTTGTACCAACGATGAAACTTTTTGACACGTAAAAAGACGACAAAAACTCTTTCAATCCCTTGACATCAAACATCCCCGAACTCACCTCCTCGTTTATAGTTAAGCTTCAGACCAACACACTGGACTATCATGTTAACATTCAAATTTCTTTAACTTTAATTCTATGAGATATTTTAATTGATAACTGCACGAGACCTACTAGATCTAAAGCCTACAGTTAGTTTTGTCTTTACTAGGTTGGGAGACGGGGGCGGGGTAGGCTACAAAAATCATTTGGTAAGGGGTCGTCTACTCGTTTTTAGCGAGTCAATTTAATCAAGAGAAGGTCCCGAAACATCTATATCTTACGTTTTCATGGATTACTGTCAACGCTACTAGGTTTGATGGTGAGGCTGTACGGTCTTTTGGCTTTAGAAAGTTGTGGCAGTAAGCCTGAGTTTGAGTCAAGTGAGTGGGTTCAAGTGAAATTCGACTCCATTTCATTAGTAGGCCAACTGTCATTTTGGATTTCCCTCACATCGAAGGACACGGCTTCTGTCAAAAGGGGACCATATGAAATTCCTTCCATTGCTATCATCAGTGAAATTATTCTAATAAAAGAATACCAAGATAACCTTCATAATTCACACTGTTCTTGTTCTGGTGATATACCGGTGTACAGACGGGGCCACACTGCGGGTGGGCGTGACAGTCGTCGTGAGTCGTGTTCCGGAAATATACTAGAAAACAAGTCATTTTTTATCAAAAAGAATAGCTAATAAACAAACCCTGTGCTGCTTCTGGTTGAGAATCTGCTGCCGCAAAGTTATCATCTTCCAATCCAGCGAGTTCGGACTGCTCACGAGCCAAAAAATCAGCAGCAGGGTCCACTTCTCCGCTGGGAGCGGTTTCGAAAGCATCAAAGTCGGCCATTTTGATCAAGTACGTCAAAGAAGGAAGTAACAAATATGCAAATATAATTCAGCAGTAATAAATTTGGAATGCCTGAAATTATCATATATTTTAGATATATAAAAGGCACTCTTTATCCAATAAGCCAACTGTTGTATGATTCTAATTCAACTGAAAAATAAAAATTTGTGTTCATGGCAAGAAAGACGTTAGTATGTGCGGAACTGAAAACGACTCTTTGCGGGTCAAGGGGCACCAGAACCAAAACAATCTAACACAGCATCCAAAAATAACGCATGACCTCAACTGGAACTGACGATTATATGTAGCGTTACTGTTAGTTGGAACGGGTACCCCAGTACAACGGCGTTCCTCTGTTATGTCAGCAATCATGGATATCAAATGTGCGAAGGACAATGACAAACGAGAGAGAAGAAAACGACAAAAATCGTTTACAGAAGCTTTGAAGGAGAAATATTGCATGGACAACGATGAGCACTCTTCTGGCAATGGCTACATCATCATCAGCCCAAAACGAAAGAACTCCCCAGCTGAACTGGCCCATTTAAAAACAGTGGTGAGTTTTGAGCCAAAACAAGCATAGCATTATTGCGTTTTACATCATTAAAGTCTGGTAATAAAATGTTTAAGAGCTGAATTGAGCATGGGCAATGACACTGTGCAGCTAATTGTGAGTGTTTGATATCGAAGAGTCATTATGACGGTTGTTGTTCTGGGCCTGGTCCCAGCTGTTGGCCTTGACACTGTGAGCTGAAGTGCAGAAACTGGGTGGCGTCTGCTTTGCCCTCATTTTGCCCTGTGTTGTTTGTTGTTGTTGTGTGTGTTGGGAGAGGGAAGTTGTTAAGTCTCAATTTCACAATCTGTTGATTGTAGTGCACAACAGTTTTTTCTGTTGTTACTGTGTAAACAACAGTCAATAGTTATAGTAGTAGTAGTAGGCCTAGTTGATATAAGACACAAAGCAAAGAATTATTGTGCAATTGCACACATATAGCATGGAGAAAGGAAAGTATAGCCTAATTTCTAAAGTAAAACATGGCTTCAAAACATCATGTTCAGATTTAGAGGAGACTCTTGTAATATGTATGAACAGAGTCATGTGTGAAAGTGAAGATAATATTTATACTCACTCTGCTTCGATAAAGGGAAAGCAAAATTGTATTTCATGACTTTGCAAAAATACACATTTACCTCAAAACGTGTTGCTTGGAAATCTGAAAAGATTAGTCTGATTAGAATGTACAGCAATGTAGCTATCTCAGTATATTAGCTGGAATAGAGTAGAGAACAGCCCTTGATTTTGAAGCATTTGGTATTCTTTTACTTTTTCTCTTCCGTCTCACTTTTCTACTGTACTATGTTTCCATTCAGTAAGGGGAGTTACAGTCAACGGATATTCAGAGAGTTCAAGATAGGCATCCATAGACCACTCACTCGTCGCCATCAGAATGGCTGCCAGTTGAGAATATGTCTGACTGATGTTCCGACTCACTGATCAGCCTTTGTTTCTGCTACAGGACACTGCACACTCTGACATTCACATTCATGGGGGGGTTATGAACAGACCAACTCCTCTCCATCAGTAACACTCTCTGACTTTAATGGTTTGAGAGTGTCGGGGGGGGGGGGGGGGGGGGGGCAAAGAAATATTATGGTGGCGCACCAACATATCACACTCTGACATGGTATTCATTATATTGGTTCAGAGAGGGGGGGGGGGGGGGGGGTTACTAAAGACCCACTAACGCCAACACCAACACTGACCTCCATGGGTTCAGAGAGAAGAATTGGGGGGTTGCATGTTCAGAGAGAGGGGGGGAGGGTTACCAACCGAAACAGACCCTCTGCACACCAACTGTATCACAGTAATGACTCCTCCTGTAAAATAACCTAGTTTTGTCTTGTATTGGTTAAAGCTTTTTTAAGAACAGGCAACTGCTAGGGTTGTTGGGGGTTGCTCTGGTGTATTCATCGTCCTGATCTCTCCTACTTTTTTGTGTCTGTTACTTTGTAGTAACACCTCTCATCTTTGGCAGTTTATGTACCTTTATTGTGTTGCAAATGCCATAAAACTCTTACTAAATCAAAACAGGCAACAGATACTGTTTCCTATAAATTAATTACGACACATGCAGCATCAAAAGCAACTACTCCAAGCACTATTAATTAAGTCCAGAAAATACGATCTGCAGAGCTGTCATTTTAATTTCCACCTGTGCCTGGGAAAGTGAGACGCCTCAGACTGGCAATCAGTTAAGAAGCTTATTAATGCCTTCTCTGTGGATTGGTTTGGTTGAGTCACTGTGAGTCATGAACACGCAAGGCTGGATCGGCGGAGGGCAAGCACCTATGGCTCTTGTGGCAGTGTCCACCTGCACAGTGACTGTTGGCCATGTGGCAGCCAGTGCTGTGTGCTGTCTGCTATGTTGGCAGCAGTCCAAGGAACAGTCTTTGTCACTCTGGCAGGCTATAAATAGCAGCTGACCTATCTATAACCTATCTGATCACTGGTGTATAGAATTTCTGTCACAGATCACTGGCTACAATGAATCAGAACACATTCTAGTGCTTTGTGGAAAACTGAAAGGCTTTTACCTTTTAAGTTAAAGTGATTCAGCTTTAACTAATAATTATTATTCCTCCTTATAACTGCGCATTAATGTTTTACTCTTTTTTTTTTAAGCCCTCTTCATGAGAGCAATGAAGAGGAAAGCTCACACAGCATCAGCTAAATGTTTTTGGTACGGACAAATGTGCAGAAGTTCCCACTGTGTGCAGTGACTTGAACTAAAAGGATAAGTCACCTCCCCAAATTTCAAGTTTGAGATGTTTGAAGGTGTATTTGGAATTTTTTTCCCCTTTCTTCTGTGGTCTATTCTCCCCCCCCCCCCCCCCCCCATGAAAGTAAATTGTAGCCTTTAGAGAAAACAGAGTTTTTCATATTATGTATCATAGTGTTGGAAATTGGAAGATGATTGTTATAATTTAATTCTTTTCAGTATTCAAATATAAGTGCTTTTAAGAGTTATATTTGTTGAAACTACAGTCAAACCTGCTCTATCGGTCACCTGTCCAAGACTGAAATGTTTAGTGATATATATATATATAAAAACTGGATAACAAACCGACGTTGTAGCAACTCAAAATTATGGCCAATTAAATCAGCCACGACACCACAGAACGAAATTTAAGGTAGATTTAATCGGCTGTTGACACTTGGAGGGTTGAGCAATGAAAACATCCAAAGAGGATAAATAAGTAACTTCTGGTTTTTGTGGTTCTCCAACCTCTCCCTCAGGTGCTGAATGAGATGAGCCTGGCAAAGGCTGGCATCCCCCAGCAAGGCCTGACTTCACTCTGCCCCAATGTCGTTGACCTTGACCTTGCCAGCAACATGTTTGAGCACTGGTCGGAACTGCTGACTATCTTGTCGCACCTGCCAAGGGTCAAATACGTCAACGTGAGCAGAAACTCTCTCAGGTTGAAATCTGTAAGTGAAAGTTTTATTTCTGTGAACTTTGTGTCTGGTTAATAAAGACTATTGTTTTGTTTGTTTCTATGACCTCTTTATTTTTTTAGGGCCATTCCATGAAAAGGGACACGCATAATGTGAAGCTGATAGCCTCCTGAAAAAATTCTAAGCAGTGATAAAGCCATTTTTGTTGAACTTTTTTTTTTTTAGCACAACCTTCCTCAAACAAAAAGAAAAAAAAAAAGAAATGAAGAATGACTTTATCATTGCTTCAATTTTTTTTAGCAGGTTATCATCTCTGCGTTATGTGTGTTACTGTTTACTGTTCATGGAATGACCCTCTACCTGATTTGTCACATTGGGTTTGGTGGGGGGGGGGGTTGTTTTTGTTTTTTATGTGAAAGTACTTTCTCGATATGTGAAATTCACTCTTATGACAATTCTATGTGGTTCTCTCATGATTTTATATTTCTGTTCTTGTTTTGCTGGAGATTAATATGTTCCCTGGATGGTTGGCGGCTGCTCTGGTGTGGTTTGCTTCTTCTGTCCTATCAAACGTCTATTGTCCTTATCTCCCCTTCTTCTTTTTTATGTTTGTTACTCTTTTGTAACACCTCTAATCTTCTGGCGTTCATATGACCTTATGCAGTTGTGAGCGCCGTAAAACCTCTACTTTAAAAAAAAGCTCTTACTTTAAAACTAAAATCCTGCTTGTTCCATCGTACTCAATAACCGTTATTGTGGTGACCTGAGTCTCTGTACTCAATAACCGTTATTGTGGTGACACGCTTCTCTGTACTCAATAACCGTTATTGTGGTGACGTGTTTCTCTGTACTCAATAACCGTTATTATGGTGACGTGTTTCTCTGTACTCAATAACCGTTATTGTGGTGACGTGTTTCTTTGTACTCAATAACCGTTATTGTGGTGACGTGTTTCTCTGTACTCAAATCTCCCCCCAAACAACCGGTCAGACGGACGAACTGCCGAGCACACACCTGTCTGTGGAGAACCTGGCTCTGAACGACACGGGCGTGTCCATCGAGGAAGTGGTCCGACTCTCCCAGATCATGCCCGCCCTGAAGGAACTACATCTGTGCGGAAACAGTGAGTGCTTTTTCATTTTTTCTTTGTTAAATTTTTTGTTTTGTTAAAGTTTTTTTGGACACTTTTGTGTTTTGGAGACAAGGCAGAGTGTGCTTGTATTATTCTTATACTGTCACAGTAAGAGAGAATTAACTGAATTAGGGATGGAAAAAGATTTAAAAAATTAGAGGACAATGAGTTTGTTAATGCCTGTTTGTTATTGTTGCTTAGGCTGTTTACATCGTCGTCCTCATCATATTATTTGTTTTTGTTGACACATTTCCTTCTTCTGCTGTGGTGGGGAATTTTTATTTGTTCACCGACCCACTGCAGGTGTACATCTCTTGGTTGTTTAGTTAGTAGTCCCACAGAAATAGGGAATTCACAGCAGCTCTTGTTGAAGATGATGTTAAGGTGAGTTGGGGGGGGGGGGGGGCTCCAGATGGTTGGTGGATGATTTAATAATATCTGCTGCTTATACAACATTTGAACTGCTCTGAACTGCTCTAATGGCCACCTGTTCAGAGAACCACTCCACCCCCCCCATCACCCTTTTTTTTTAAATATGGGAACGGCACTGTCCAAGAGGCCCACCCATCTCAGGAATTCTTGCCTTTTAGTAGAGAGCAATTTGGTAGAATTTACAAAACAAGTTCAGAGTATTTCTAAGTAACAACAAGGAAAAAAAGATTGTTCTCAGGATGCAATTTGTTTGTAATTTTTCGTTTGTATGCTTGTGATTTGATTTGATTTGATTTTTTGTTATTGGTTGTTTGTAGTACTAAGTCTGCATATTTGTGATTATTTTTGTTTGGTATGCTTGTGGTCTGTGATTGGGAAGTAGCCGCGCTGTTTCACGTAACACTTCCTCAGGTTACGAGAGCTTGGCCAATATTGAGGACGGTATCAGAGACGGGCACCTGTCATCGGTGGAATGTCTGCGGCTGAACAATAACGCAATCAAGAGGTGCGATTAGGATGGTTTGTCTTGTGTCTTCAGGCCACTTATCTGTTTCTTCTTTTTCTTTTCATTATAACTTTTTTTTGTCCGTGCTGTTCCCATCAAAAGATTCTGTTGTTTTAGAAGACAAAACAGAATGTGTAAATATATAAGAATATATTATTCTTATAATGTGGCAATAAGAGAGAATTAACTGATTTAATGATAGTCTTTTCATTATTTATAACTTTATTACTAGTTTTATCCCTCTTTATTCTAGGTGAAATGACCATTCTTTAAGATGACACACGTCTCAACCAATCCCAAACTGTGGTCACTACGTCTTTAAAACCACAGCTGTTTTACTGGGTAGAAATACTTCTAGACACTACCTTTTGTTGTGTGTGTGTATAGGATGATATATCTTAACAAAGCAAGGAGAGTGGAAATTGTTTTTCAATTTTGTCAAAAATCATTTTAAGTTAGTTCTGCTTTTGTATTGAAACATACTTTAACAGAGTGGTGCTCTCAGAACAGCAAGTGCTTTTGATTTCATTGTGTTGAACATTATCTCTTTAGATTTGTTCTTGTCTTCAACAGCATGTGATAGAACTTCACTTCCAATATAACTAAATCATTGGTTTCTTTCTCAAAGCACTGAGTGGCTGTTCATTAGTTGCGTCAACGTGTGAATCCGTTTCTCTTTTATTTACTCTCGATGACAAGTCATCTCACTCCCATGCTCACTTCCTTTTCTGTTCCCGTCTCAGCTGGTCGGAGGTGTGGAAGCTCCGACACATGCAACAGCTGAAGGACTTAATCTTGTCTGGCAACCCACTGGACAAAATCTTTTACGACTTGGATGACCAGGTGTGCTGTGATGACCAGGAAGTGGCGTCGAAGCCTGGTGTGAGCTGCGACGGAGACAGCACGGTGTGTGAGGAGGAGATTTTCCTCCAGATGTCCACAGACTGCGGCGACTGCGGTATGAGCGACGACGACAACAACTCGGGGGATGGAGAGTTCGAGTTCCGCAACCTGTCCGGTGCTGGTGACGAGGATGACGACCATGACTTCGGGGAGAGGCCGGTCAGTAGGTTTGACCGTCACGAAGAGTCAGACGTTTCCGACGACGCGGAGACCACGTCCACCAGCGCGGTCAGTAGCGTGGACATGGAGATGTGCTGCGGGGGAGGAGGTCCCAGCAACGCCAACTACAACAACAGCCACAGCACCCCACCCCACAAGTCTCTGTACGGGGCCGAGATGGCCGAGGAGTCAGGCGCCTGGTTCGGAGTCTTCCCTTCGGACGAACTGCTGGACGGGGACGCGACGGAAAGCTTCTTCGAGGGCGAACCCGCGACGCACGTGGAGGGAGAAGGAGGGGAAGACTGGCACAAGACTGTGGCCGAGGCGTTCCTGCAGGAAATCATCAACAACTTGGACTTTCAGGACAGTGTGGGGGACTCCGCTGGTGGGTCTGGACAGTGCCGTACCTCTGCCGACAAGCAACAACCCGCCCAGATGGTCGTGTCCTCTGCGTCTAGCGCCACCGAAGCCATGAGCGATTCCTCGCACAGCGAAGGCAGTGCCACCATGGCTCCCTCCCCCTCACACAGCCATCTCCTGGGAGCCACAGACAGGCCGGCTGGTGGGAACTGTGGGGAAGGCAGCGACAGACAGCAATATTTGCCCGAGGCCAACACCAACCAGAACGCTTTTTCTGACGCAGTTTTGAAAACAGAATCACAAGGTGGCCTTGACATTGTGCAGAATAACCGTAGCTGTAGGAATTTAATCACCACAGCTTCGTCCATGGCAGTGTCTGATCCTACGTGGGAGATGAATTCATCTTCCTCTATCAAAAGTCGCAGTGCAGACATGAATAGATGCAATGTAAAGAGAAATATATTTGCTGGCCCGGCGTGTGGGAACATTGCTTTGTGTACAGCGGGGGGAGTGGACGTGGACACACCTGTGCGGGGACTGACCGCCAGCTCGGAGTCTTGTGGTGTTAGCAAGCAACAGAGGTCATGTGACCAGTGTGAACAACAACAACAGTTGCCTGCAGAGAAGTGCAGTGTCGATCAAAGTTCTCTGATTAGTAACGTTCAGGCTGGACTATCAGCTTGTGAGTCAAGAAACAGGGAAAGCTGTCAGTCTAGTGATGTCGGTAGAGACAGCTGTCGCTGCGACGGCCCGACAGAGACTTCATCTCACTCGAAGCAAAAGGCGGGCTGGGTCAGGGAATCAATGTTCTTCAGTAACGAGCCTCGTCTCCGCATCATCAATTCCAACAAAACCAGCCGGCGAGACCCGCTCGACCTTTCCCCGACGGAATCGATGACGACACCACCACCGTCGTTGTCGGCAACAAACGTGAATCACCCACCGCCCCTACTCCCCGAGTGTGGCTCGAGCCCGGACTTTGTCAAGTGCCAATCTGAGAACGGTGCGGACTCCCCAGGTGGGGCGTCGTCCTCACCTCGGTCAGACACGAGCGACCGCCGCTTGCCGTTCCAGAACCTGGAGACACTGTGTCTGAGCAACGCGGGCGTGTCGCACTGGAGACATCTCCACGCCCTGGGGCTCTTCCCCAAGCTCACCAACGTCAGGATGCTGGTGAGTTCTGCTGTTTATTCCTAAGACTTTTACTTCAATTTTAGTGGAGAATTTTTTAAAAAAATTTTCTTCTGACTTTTAATACAATTTTAGTGGAGAATTTTTTTTTTTTTTTCTCTGACTTTTAATACATTTAATGAGAATTTTACGGCTCTTACAGCACAATTAGGTCAAATAAGTGATTAAGATTAGAGATGTTACTAGAGAGAGTAACATTCAAAGAATGGAAGGAGAGACAAGGACGATAGATGTTTGATAGGAAAGAAAGAGTAGGGGTGAGGACGGATGGATAAATGATTCAGTGGTTGGTGGATGCTCTGGTGCGGTTTGTTCCTTGTTTCCTTTCATGCCTGTATCATCCTTATCTCTCCTCTTTTTTTGTGTGTGTTTGCTACTCTTTTGTAACACCTCGAATCTTCACCACTGATATGACCTAATTACTAAATAGACGTGATGGTTTTTTTCTTTTCTCAGGAAAACCCGCTGTACTCGTCGGTGCATCCCGAGGACAGAAGAAAACTGTACATATCCAGGTGAGTGGTCACAAACTTGCCAAAAGAGTTCTGTGCTTCACTGGGAGGCATCTGGCGTCTGTGGTCTGTGATGTAGTGGATAGGCTTGTCACTCTCACACGCAGTAGATCCGAGCAGGACAATCACCTGTACAAACGGCCACTTGGTCAAGACCATCACCTGTACAAACGGCCACTTGGTCAAGACCATCGCCTGTACAAACGGCCACTTGGTCAAGACCATCGCCTGTACAAACGGCCACTTGGTCAAGACCATCGCCTGTACAAACGGCCACTTGGTCAAGACCATCGCCTGTACAAACGGCCACTTGGTCAAGACCATCACCTGTATAAACGGCCACTTCCCATTTCCTCCCTTGCCTATTTTTTACATTACGTTAACCCCTCAGTAAGACGGCCACTTTCCACCTCTACTATAGGTGGCCAACTTAGAGAGTTTTGCACTGTGTCTACATCGGTGTCCCTTTCTCCTCCAGTTTGCCAAACGTGAAGGTGCTGAACGGCAGCGAGGTGACGCACATGGAGCGAGAGAAGGCCGAGTCTCACTACCTGCGCTACTTCATGGACGCGGACGACAAGCCAGAGTTCTATCACACGCTCGTCCAAAAACACGGTCAGTGGGTCCGAGTTCTGCTCTTTTTCTTTCTGTTGTTTGTTGGGGGTGTTTTTTTTAAGGTCTTATGTGGTTTTAATATTACCAAGTTTCTTCGCCCACCCACTGATTTCTACATTAATGAAGTTTTCCTTGCTACATGCGTGGTATGTGTGTTCATATGACCTGATTTCTCCATCTACTCCCTTTCCTCTTTTACGTTAATGATGTTTTCCTTCCATTGTGTCGTGTGTAGGTTTGTTATGACCTTATTTCACATCTCCCCCCCCCCCACCTAATAAGGTAATAAAGTTGTCTGTAGGTCCTGTGTGTATTTCATTTGACCCGATTTCCTCCACCCACCCCTTCCACATCAATAAAGTTTTCCTTATGGGTGTTGGCTAGTGCTCTGCTGTGGTTTGCTCCTTGCTGTGGTTACTCTCTTGTAGTGTAGCATCTGTAAGCAGCTTTTTTATATGAACTATTTGTGTTGCTGCAAGTGCTGTAAAACTCTTACTAAAACAGAAAAAAGACCTTTTTTCTCTGTATGTTACTTTCTTGTAACACCTCTAATCTTGGACATTTTTATGACCTATTTATGTTGCTGCAAGTGCTGTAAAACTTTTACTAAAACTAAACAAAAGTTTTTCCCTTTGGTGTGTGGCGTGTTATAGGACCACCGGTCAAGCTGGTGGACATTGACCTTGGGGCGGGCTACCAGGAGTGGGCCAGCCTCACCTTCGTGCACAACGGGGTCGCAAAGTTCACCAAGAAACTCCACCTGACGGAGCCCGTGGTGAAACTACGCACGCTCATCTCCAAGCAGCTCGGATTACCCAAACGGTATGTATGTGGGTGTGTGTGAGAGAGAGAGAGAGAAAGAGGGGGAGAGAGAGAGAGAGAGAGAGGAGAGAGAGAGAAAGAGGGGGGGGGGGGTTGACGTGAAAAAAAATGGTTGTCTAGGCATGTTTTACACGGTGTGATTATAATTTATTTTCTTTTAATGCAAGTTGAGGGGTTGGCAGGTGCTCTGGTGCAGTTCACTTCTTCTTTCCTATCAAACATCTATCGTCCTTATCTCCCCTCCTTCTTCTTAGTGTTTGTTACTCTCTTGTAAGACCTCCTAATCTTTGACACCTATATGACCTGATTATGTTGTAAGTGCTGTAAAACTCTTTACTACAACAAAAATGAAAGGGAAGGAATGAGAAAGTGTCCGTTTGAACAGCTGATTTTCTTATACAGGTGGCTGTTGGAGTAAATATGACTGTATATGGTCACTTTTAAGCACAAGGGGGCTATCCCGAAAAATGTTGTTTTGAGAAAATGGAAGGTAAAATTTTTGCCCCTTGTTCAGTTTCTTAAGTCAAGGAGAGTCTTCTCTATAACCAAACAAATATATACACCTATGAAACCAAACGTCTCCTATAGGTAGGGCAATGCCCACTTTGGGTGTAGGTCAAGATTTCTGGAAACCCCCGAAATCTGGGTTAGCCCGCTTGTCCTTTAAAAGCGACCATATAATCATTTTGTCCTGTCGTAAAATAATCAAATATATTTTTTCGCCCCCCCCCCCCCCAACCTTTCCCCAGCTCGTTTATGATGTACCACAACCCGTGCGGCCCCTCCCACCCCGAGTACGAGAGAGAGCTGACGGAGCTGCGCTGTGAGAGCCTGCCCATGTCGCGCTTTGACTTTGCCGAGGGCGACGAGATCCACGTGGATGCGTAGTAGTCGAGGAGTAGATGATTGGATGTTGGGATGTCTGGACTCTGGGCTCTGTGGTGACTGCAGAGTTACGGTGTGTGTGTGTGTGTGTGTGTGTGGTGAGGGGAGGAGGAGAGCTTGTCTTTAAGAATTGTAATAGTGTTCGTCTAGTTGTGGATGGGGGAAGGGATGAGAAGATGTGAGTTCTTGGGTCTTTTTATATCTTACAATGAAGGTATGTGGTAAGTGATGATCAGTCGCTAACATGCGGGGACTATCAAGTACTTGGACTTTTTTTAATATGGTAATGAAACACGTCTAAAACACACTACTCCCCCAATCTACGACACTGTCGACTGTCGATGTTCACAAAACTGTTGTGTCGGTCGTGGGCATTCTTGAACCTCCTTTGGAGTTGCTTTGAATCGAAGGGTCAAGGCTGGTGATTTGCAACTTCAGCTGTTACGTCTCTTTGTACAGTTGTGAATATTGTGTAGCAATATTACCCGTGCGTGAATCGGATTGCCCCAATTAGAGGGCATAACATTTGTTTGTAGGAGATAGTGGTAGTTGAGTGTGTTTCTGTTTGTAGTGATACCACTGGCTGTTGTTTTTGCCGTAACTGTTTGTCCATTTTGTCTGAGGCAGGGAAGAGTACCTTGTTGAACTTTCTCTTTGTCAGTGATGGAAAGTTTTTGGTTCAGACTTACGCCATTTTGGTACAGAAGCGATGATGTATTTACTCCCCTTGTACATACATTAGTCCAATGATCATGGCCACTTTTGGTTTTAAGTAATATTGCTACTAAGAAATTAGTGTGGACTCAGCTTAAACCAAAATCTCCAGGACTGCTGTACTATCTTCACTTTTGTCAAGTTTTTGGGTTAGAGGGTTGCTGAACTATATAAGGGGTAAAAAATCTGTGATGTCATTTTAGTCCAGTTTACCACTGTTTGTGGATTGACCGTGTTCAGTTTAAAGCAGACTTCAGGTGGCCGTTAGAGCACTGGCGACTGTGGTGTAGCTGTCTCACACAGAAATACAGAAGACCGGAGTTCAATTCCCGAGTGGCGAGAATTTTTATCGAGTATTTCAGTCTCCCTTCTGGGACATATCTTTCTCACCCCTGGTTGGCCCTGTAAGGCAGGGTCAAAGCCCGCATCATAAATTATCTAAATTGAGGGATGAGGGCGTAAAACACCAACCTTTTTTTTCTCTAAATGTTCCCGGCGTCTGACCCGTCTCTGTTGCACGTCAGCGTCTGTGTTTTGATTATGCACATCCTATGGGTGGCAGATATTTAGGCCTGTACATAATGCAATCCCTACTTCTCTATGAAGCCAGATGATTGCGGCCCTGTTCAGCGTGTCAGCAGTGGAGAGACATTATAAATGTAACCTCCTGAAAAAGACGTCTGTCCTGAGACAGGCAGTGGGCGGGGATATTGCTCACCACAGAAGTGGTTAAGAGTGTTCTGTGTCATATTGTCATATTATGATGACTGAGAGCTTTCTTCTTTATGATGTCACTGATATTTTCAGATAAATTGTGATATAGATTTTTAAGGCATTCCATACTTTGTGTGGTAGGTCAAAAGAAAAAAATGTATGCATCTGATGTGAGCTTTGGGAGTAACTTTTAAGTTGACCTGGCGGTAATCTGACTGAAGTTTGTCCTATGTCATGAGGGTTTTGGGGGTTTTTGTTGTTTTTTTCTTGTGGAGAACTTACAATGACGACTTGACAACCTATATATATATAAAATATGAATTATATTATTATCAGACCTGCCCAAAAAAATGGATTTAATGCAGATCTGACTGCAGTTCTTCAGTGAGCATAAAAAAAAAAAAAAGACGACGAAAAATCAGAGAGCTCTGATTTTATTGGGATATTTGGCAGGTCTGTATTATGTTCCACGCAGTGCCAGTTATGTGGGAGTTCAGTCCTGAGGTGTGAGAGTCTGTGAAAACACAGGTGGTGACTGGTAGCAGCATGCCGTATGCTGGTGTGTTGCAACTGATGTACAGAGTGAGCTACACAAAGTGTGTTGGAGTTGAGTCTTGGCGCGTGAGAGTCAGTGAGAGCACAGGTGGTGACTGGTAGCAGCGTGGCCGCGTGCTGGTGTGTTGCAACAGCTGTACAGAGTGTGGTGTGCCGTGTGACGTCCACAGTATGTAGACAGAGAAGCAATAGTGCTATACATTGTAGTTGTGTTCCCTCGTTCTCTAAGTTCCTCCGAGCCGCTTTGCAATATGATGACATCTATGTAGTAGGCTGGATCACATTTGTTTCATATTATAATAGAGTAGATCTACTATGTCACTACAGGTTTATTGCTTCTCCAGCAAGGTTATTCCTTGTTGAGAGGAGACAAAAACAATTATGGTGTAGGGAAGTCAGACACTCAGTAAAATAATGAATTAGAAGAAACCGACATTTTTCCGCCAGTTGAGCAATTTTTATCAGTTTTTGGGGGTGATGGTGGGGGGGGGGGTGTCAAGACTATTTTTGTCCTTTTAAAAGCACATTTCGGTGTCGATGTTGCTTAAAACATTGATCAAGGGCACAAAAAATATAAATCTGCAGTTTCCAAAGGCATTCAAGCTTTGCAGCCATTTTCTGGCTAATGTTACCTTTGACACCACGTGACCCCCATCTCCTTTAATGATTTTAATCTCAAATGCCTCGACTTGTCTTCAAATTATAAAGACAAATGAACAAACTTTAATATTATAATCCTATCAACAACTCCATTTGCCCAAAACTAACAAACGCCTGATTCCACCGTGTCATGACAAATCATTTATCCTTATTGTACAAACTTGACCTACTAATTTCATGACATAAAAGATAACAACATCTCCTACAGATATCACCACCGTTCTCCTCAAGTTGGTTCCAATCTCCTTTAAATTATTACCATTAGTCATAACATCAGTCAGTTAATTTGTCGTACGGAAATGCTATGTTTTTCCGGGTTTTGTTAACAAAATTATTTTGTTCATTGTATTGAGATGTTTTAACAGTCTAATTTTTACAGTTGAAACCTGCATGCGTACACTGTTTACAGTGTGTTTGTCTATGATATATTGCTTTTGAGAAATGCAGGAACGGTATTCATCTTTTAAAATGGTACCACTCACCAGATATTTTAGTTATATATATGTGTTTACAGTTTCAGAGTTGCTCTGAAATCTTGGCCTTTTTTTAGACACTTAAGTTTACATTTTGTAATGGTCGAATGTTTTGGGGGATTTAATTTTTTCAAGGTGTTTGTTTTTAACATATATTTGTACTTCATACAGCAACATTTGTATGTGAAGTAAAGCACAATTTATTCAATGCTTTATTCCTGGTCTTGTTTATTTTTACGATCAATACCTATGTCAATATTTCCACTGTTTGTTCCGTCAGATTATTAGGTTTTTCTTATGTTTATGGTGCTTATAAATTGAACTGAAGGTGAAGAGAGAACCAGAGGCTGGTTGTTTTTGGTAAAGGTAAATTATGTTTTGATTAGGACAACTGCATTATTGAGAAAATGAGTGGGAAGTTACAGGGCAAGTTATCTCAATAATGCAGGTAAAAATGTCTCTGCACTTTTAAATATTTTTAATATAATTTTTTATTTTTTTTTGAGGGGGGGTGGGGGGAGATAGCTAGAAAAAGCCAACACACATTATGTAGGCTGAAGAAGTTTATCATAAATTTACACCGTAGTCTAGTTGTTGCACTACATGTACCAGACTCATGACCGTGAGATTGCAAGGTCAGGGGTTGGAGGCTCAGCTCAGTCCGGTGTTGTGTCCTTGGGGGAAGCACTTTACGAGTATGTTCCCATTGGCTCGGTCCTTTCGGAGATGGACGTTTAACTTGGAGGTCCCGCCTCTGTAACAACCTTCCAGTGTTGCGAGGGGCATTACACGGATACAATTCGTTCCTTTTTTTTGTTGTTTTTTTGGTGCTCACGTTGGTACTGAAACTACTTGGGTATTCTGACTAAATATTGGTATTATAGGAATTTCCTTTTTCATTAATTCTGTTGTAGTTTTTATACCTTTTGATTCGTAGTAATTTTTTTCTGTTGTCTTTATTAATGTTGGATTTATTTTGTTCAGTTTGATTTCTGTCCCTGTTTGTGATACATTATTCATTATTGAGTTTTATTGGACGAAGTAGATGTGAGAATAATTCTATACATAAACGTAGTATATTTTTTATTTCCTGACTTTGTTTATTTTATTGTACTTGTGAAGTGAGTGAAAAAGTTTTCAGTTTCTTGTCCTTCTTTGGAAGTTTCATTTTCCCCTCAGTTTAGTTGAGTTTACTAAGGTTTGTGCTTTTTTACTTGTACCGTTTATTACACCGATAAACGGTAGTGTCTTTTAGTTGGAAATACTCCTTCTTTTCTTTGTACGTTCACACTTGTAATACTTCTAGTCTTCGACGCTTATTTTATTACCGGTACATAATTATTTTGTCTTGCATGTCCAGTAAAACTCTCTACTTAATAAGAAACCAACCAAACAAACAAGCAACCAGTGGGTGGTTGACGGATGCTCTGATTTGGCTTACTTCCTCTTTCCTATCAAACATCTATCCTCTTTATCTCCCCTTGTTCTTTTTTATGTTTGTTACTCTCTTGTAACACCTCTAATCTTCTGGCGCTCATATGACCTTATGCAGTTGCGAGCGCCATAAAACCTCTACTAAAACTAAACTATCTCCCCTCCTTCTTTTTTATGTTTGTTACTCTCTTGTACAACCTCTAATCTTCGGCACTTATATCACCTTATTGTGTTGCAAGTGCCGTAAAACACTTACTAAAACTTTTTTTAAACTAGCAACTAAACAAAATCTCTGACTAAAACAAAAAGAAAGAAAAATCGTCAAATGGAGTCGAACAAGTTATACTGTTGATGTGCTTCTCTTTACTCAAACAAACACACAAAACAAACAAACAGTCCCACTACAACAGCGAGGGCAGCTGATGACGCAACTGTTTGACACACTTGGCCGGGAGGCTGTTGGGGATGTGTTTGACCACTGTGTCCACGGTGAGGTCACCGCAGGGCCGCAGCACCTCCCTGGCACACACTCCGCCCTGATCCACCATCCTGGGAGGGACAGAAAGGTGAAGGTGAAAGGTCAGCACTCTAGCAAATGAGGTTAAAAGTTTATCACTCGAATTCACTTTTGTTAGTCCCTTTTTTACCAGTTACAAACTATATGGTACGTGTTAACATTCTAGTAGAGTAGATGCTTTCTGCTGCTGCTCCTCCTGCTCCTACTCCTCCTGCTCCTACTCCTCCTCCTCCTCCTCCTACTACTACTAGTACTAGTACTACTACTACTACTACTACTACTACTACTACTACTACTACTACTACTACTACTACTCCTATTATTACTACTACTACCACTACCACCACCACCACCACCACTCACGTCTGACAGATGTCCTTGACCTGGCCCACCTCCACCTGTCTCTGTACGTACGCCCTACTACACACCGTGAGCTCCTTCTTCAGCGTGTCGAAACAGCTGTTGTTGAACCCTGGAAAAACAAAACAATATATACAACAACTTATTGTTAGGCATTGTTGTAAAAATCCATATATATATATATATCAGAAAGGGCCAACAGAAGAGACATTAAGCAAGACGACCCAGTGCTATATTACATTTTTGTATTATGATAAATTCCGGACTTCATCAAGTGTGGTGTCATCGAGGAGAGGAAGACATAATATAGGCGCAAACAAATCAACAGAAAATAGATAGCCTATATATATAGATATATATATATATAAAATATATAGTCTAATATAATATATAAATTATAATATATATGGAAATCAGACAGAGGAAATGGAATTGGATTGGGCACACCTTAAGAAACAAACTTTACCCACTAAGCTTCCTCAGGGAAAGAGAAAGAAAGGAAGGCCTAAAATCCAAATTACGTAGATGATGAGTATGAGCGACTTAGATTTAGATTCCGACAATAGATTCCAACCTAAAGGATTGCATGCAACTGGGCAGAGATGGAGACTATTGCCCAGGACAGAAGTAGATAATTGAGAGCTCAATTGTTGGTGGCCTATACTCTGGTACATGTATGGGATGAGAATGGCTGATGCTTCGGACTGATACTAGTGACTGATACTAAATACTAGTGATACCTAAGATTCTCTTTGGTCATTGGTAGTAGAGAATCTTTGATGATACTGTTCAAATTAGATTTGGCCAGTCTCCCACTACTGCCAGTGTCGGGGAGATTATGCCGGAGGCGGGAAAATGTCATGGTTTCTTTGATTTCCTCATGTTGGACAAGTACGAGCGGCTGATTTTGCCAGGACGACGCCCCACCTTTGGTTTCACACAGGCCCCGGATGTAGGCGGGCAGGCCGTCTGGGTCTGTGCTGGGCGCCAAGAGAGCAGACGACGGGGAACACTTCCGGATGTAGCGCAGCTGGCATGTCGCCGCCTGCACCAACGCCCACTGATTGCTACGGTTTGGGGGGACATAATGGTAAACATTTTTGTGATAATGGTAAGAAGAAGAAGAATTCTTGTAACGCCCATTCCCCTACAAATACAGTACAAGAAGAAGAAGGAGGAGGGAGTGAGAGTAGGGGGGGGG